CGCGAGGTCTGCGGAGGTCTGCGTAGTACGGCGGCGGCTCCATGCACCAGTGCGCGCCCCGTCCACGCCGCGAGCAGACGCCGCGCGCAGGACGACGCATCAGCGCGATCAGTCGGGGGCGGGGCCGGCGGCGCGCAGTCCCCTAGCGGCCCGCGGCCCGCGGCCCGCGCGCACCCCCCGGAGGCCGGCGCGCGTACAGTCTGTGCAAGTGCTCGCGACCGACGTCCCGGCGCCGCCGACTGCGCCCTCCAGGATGGCAGCCCGGTCGGGTAGGGCAGCGGGGTGACGGGTGTGCACGTCGGTTGTATCGCCTTGCTACCGCTGCACCTGGCCGACGTGAAGATGCCCGTGCGCGCCAGGAACGGTGCTCGCCGGCCCCGCGCCACCAGGCACCCCGCCAGGACCACGGGTGGGTACCGCACGCCGCGGGGCTGAGAGTCCAAGCAAGGGCGGCCCCGGGCCCCGGCCCAGTAAGGACTCGGTCCGTTTTTGATTGGCAGAAACGTGGAGTTGAGAAAACTAGGTGGCTAAATGCATCCTGTTGTGAGACCGTGTGAGACTGCACTGCGTGCGGGGTAAGCCGCGCCTGTCCATGCCCACAGGTGGATATTGGATCTCCCGGACGGGCGTTGTAAAGTTTGCCTCTGCAGCTTCCCTCCCCTTACCGATGGACCGCGTATCCCCTGCCCACCCCACATCACGTCGTTGATGGCGGCCCTTTGCGCGCACCGCGTGCTCCTGAGCACCGCCACCGCGGCCTACAGCGCCCCCAGCGCGGGGCAATCGTGAGCGACACTGCAAAGTGCTTTGCAGCCTTTTTCTTATTTGTTATTTTTCCTGCCGAGGAGGAATCGCGGACAATGCCGAGGGCACAGGTGTTTCTCAGCACGTCTCTTTACGGTCCCGTTTTCCGTGTCTGCAGTTCCTCCTGAATACCTACATGTATGTGGGAGGTAGTGTGTACTTGGCCATCTACCCACACGTAGAGCCCGTTGATAAGTTATGTTCTGAAGTATGTGTACTTGGCCATGTAAGTACACACTAACTCTTTAATACATGTAGGTACTATTCAGGAGGCAATGCATCTACACACTTGGGTTTCCAGAGCGGCAGTGAACAACCGCTGCACCCAGAAAACCTTATCTTTCTAACAACGAAATTTTGACGTTGCCGAAAGCAACGGAAACTAATGAAAGTGTAGTTGTAACAAATACAAAATTTCGTTTGCTCGCAACGATATTTTTTTAATTTGACAAACATCTTTTCTAATTTGACAACAAATTCGTTGGATTGAATAAAAATTTTCGTCATCTTAACGAAAAAAGGTTTTTTTGATATCTGCTACATGAAATTTTCGTTAAGGTTTTTTTTACGCCAAAGAACTGCTTTTCTGGGTGCGCGCCGCTGGCACCGCCCCTGGCCACGGTGCAAGTACGGCTAATACCGACAATCGATTTTCTTTTCCGCACGTATGGTGGAATAAGACCGGATCCTTGTGCATTGTACGATAGAAGAACAGCATTCTCCCCTTTCAATACAAATTATTTATCGTTTTGCTTTGAGTCACCGCCGCCGCCGTCACCGCCCTTCCGCGCAGATCTCTACAAATCTGTCGCGATTTGTCGTAAATCTCTTGGCGCCTCTTGCCGCATTCGTTTCCATTTCGCTTCGCTGCGTCGGGGTCGCGCGCGCGCGTCTCGGGCCGGCTAGACCGCCCCCCCCCCCAATCCCCCAGACCATGTTTTGATCTCCCTGCCATGTTTTCTAAGCTCTAGGGTCTGGTCTTGCAGAGCCCCGCGGGGGGTGACCTGACCGAGGACCCGACCCCCTCAAGCCTTACATTGCCACCTACCGGCACCAAGCCACTCCTCCGCGAAAGTTTTTTGGTTCCGAGGCAAGCATCGTGAAAATAATTAATGTAACGTTTTGGAGCTAATCAGATAATCACAATAATAACATGAGGGGGGACACCAAGAAGACGTGCTTGGTTTCCATTAAGCGCACAGCACGTATTGTTGTGCCTCAAATCGCTTTAGTTGCGGATCAAGGTGGAAACCTATCCCATGGAAATTTAATAAAAATCTATGTGCGTGCAGCGGTGACTGCCTGTCGCTTGGCGCCGGCTTTGCGAGTTCTCTGCGGCTCGCTGCGGCCCCCGATGCAATTCGCAACACGTGGGTCCTCCTGCACGGCGCGGGGCGGACGAGGCGCGCCAGGCGCGGCCGCGGCCAGCCCAGCCCCAGACAGATGCAGACAGGTCCCAGTCCCAGGGTCGGGCAGGGGCCGGCAGGGGCGCAGGGAGCGGATGTATTGGTTCAAGTGGTGATTGAGCTGAATATAGCCCGGCCCGGCCCTGCCCGCACCTCTCGCGGGCCCGTCTCTCCTAATTGGCTTGTTTTGGTTCGGATGCAGCCGTTATTATTGTGCCCCCCTCCCAGACTCTCC